TTGAATGAAGGTTTTCCTGGTGAAAGCGTTCTAACTTTCGGATATCACCAACATATGGAGTTCAAGTTTCAAAACTACATGAGAAATTTGAAATGACAACAGCATTATAGACTATAATATCTGTTGTTAAATACAGATGTTTGATCTGAGATGCACTTGTTTGATAAAAGGCTGATGACACACTAAAAATGCTCTACTTGTTCTAGAGATGTATCGCATATAGTAATATCAACATCTGGTAACTAATATTGATAATACAAAAGAATTTGCCAAGGAACTTAGAGTCCCAAATTGAGAAAACCGGAATAGGCTGTAAATACCAAGAGGTTTAGGAGACCGAAGTCTGATTCAAATTGAAATAACTCTAAAAACTACAACAATCGAATTGGAACAATAATTCACAAAACCAATGACCCTGTCCTACAAATAGTAAAACACCAAATTCAATCCATCAACAAAGAAGCCACACTCTTCAAGAAACATTTTAATATACTTGAAATACTACCAACAAAATTAGGAAGTAAATACCATCTACGCCAAACTAGTAAAATAGAAAGCAAAAAAACTTGGCCAAATGAAATTACAAAAAAAAAAGAGAGTACAAGGCGTTGCATGGCAAATGTATAATAAGGACGAAAGAAGCAGACGTGAACCAACAGAGAAAAATCAGTGGCTGAGAAGGACCGGGCTGAAAACTTAGACTGAAAGCCTAATTATTGCAGCTCAGGACCAAAGCTTAGGAACCTGATTCTTCAGTCTCGATGAAACCTTCGACCATATTATCACAGAATGATATAGGAAAAAATGAATATACCCACAGACAAAAACAAGATGTGCACTGGAAGATATTCAAGAAGCACAAAATCGAAACCACAGAGAGATGATATGAACGCCAACCAGACAGTTACCTAAAATAACGATGTAACTATCTTCTGGGACATGACAATCCAAACTGACAGAGAAATAAAAGCCTGATATTATCATAAAAGGCAAAACACTCAAGACGTTTATGCACATTGACATAGCAGTACCATCTGCGAGAAACATCCGAATAAGATTATTAAGAAATTGTCTAAATACAAGGACCTGGTGATCTAGATTAACATGGTGTGGGAAATGAAGACTGAGATTTTAATAATAGTAATCAGAGGCCTGGTCATCCTGAGAAATGGAATGAACAATTTAGCTAACAACGTCCCTGGTAAGATCGCCCTACTCGGAACATCCCATATACTAAGAAAAGTGCTATCAATTAAATGAGAATTCTTATATAGGGTCTAAGGACCATAGTTTGAACCTGGCTCTACAGGATACAGAGCAGGAACAATACATACACAAATAATAATAATAATAATAATAATAATAATAATAATAATAATTAATGCATTAAAGAAGAGAGGGGTATATTATGAATGCTATAGAAAGTATTTCATAAGAAATTCCATGTGGAAGATTCCGAAACCAATGTGGAAATTCAGCTCGATATGTCTACATAAATTTCATGCTATGTAATACGATCGTCTACATAAATTTCATGTTATGTAATATGAGCTTCGAAAGGCATTCAAACTTGCAGAGACGCGCGAAGGAAAAGACTGATAAAGAACCTGACCATTGATCATATTCTATTCATGGACTAAACGCCTGCTTATCACGAGGTATATTTCCGGCTAGTCATAAGTAATGCTTGGAACAGAGGCCATAAGGGTCAAATATCTTCACGTGTCACATCTAAGCTCATCATCTGATCTCGCTGATTTTCGATTTCATGTGCTAGCTATTTGCACACCCAATAATGATAGAAGTCTTTTTATGAATATACAATGTCAATCTTACTCTATTATAGATTGTATCGCATTTTCATTTTCAAAGACCCATAATAATCTTTAATTGTAGAAAAGTAGCTCCATACTATGATAATCGTATATAGTGAACGCTTTCTATCTATATTTCTGAGATGAGGTATTATGTACACTATTTCCATTATTCGGACTACTGTCCTCATCTTTGGTGCCATATTTATTACAACGTTTCGGTCTTTCAGTATCTGTCTATATTTCTGAGATGAGGTATTATGTACACTATTTACATTATTCGGACTATTGTCCTCATCTTTATTGCCATATTTATTACAACGTCTCGGCCCTTCATTATCTGTCTATATGTCTGAGATCAGGTATTATGTACACTATTTCCATTATTCGGACTACTGTCCTCATCTTTGGTGCCATATTTATTACAACGTTTCGGTCTTTCAGTATCTGTCTATATTTCTGAGATGAGGTATTATGTACACTATTTACATTATTCGGACTATTATCCTCATCTTTGTTGCCATATTTATTACAATGTTTCGGCCTTTCAGTATCTGTCTATATTTCTGAGATGAGGTATTATGTACATTATTTACATTATTTGAACTATTGTCCTCATCTTTGTCACCATATTTATTACAACGTTTCGGCTGTTGTACGCTCCGGACTTCTTCAGGTGGTTGGAATGTCGAACAGAACCCTTTATTCGATCACTGGGGTAGACTGTTCTAGTTCCACTTGCCATGTTTAATGGATGTCAGTTATCAGTTATCTCCTGTTAATTTTCCTCTGAAAGTTCACCACTGTCTTAACTGGGTATTGAACTTACACTCTTTGGGTCCTGTCACTGGTTCTAACCAACGCCTTTATCCACTGTGCCATGTCTCCTTAGAAAAAGGCCAATAGTCTGAATAATGTAAGTAGAGTGTACGCTTTCTCTGTATTGAATCTTATTGTCATCTTCTAAATTGCTGACACAGAAGTTTCACTCTTAACCGCATTACTGTATCACAAGCTGACTGGAGATTTCGAAGGTTTTGTCAGAATATCTGCTAACTCTGTCCATGCAAATACTGTATCTACGTTTCAAATGACATTATGTTTTCAGGGTTATTTCGAGAGGAGTTGAAATTTCTCGAGTCGATGTAAGATTAAAAGAAGGACGATAGAAATGAGGAAAAGAGACGAGAAAGATAGATGAAGAGAAAGAAGAGAGTGGTAGAAGAAAGACGGAAATATAAAAAAAAAGTAACAGAAAGAAAATTGAATAGAGACAACAATAAGAGAGAATATCAATAAGATAGTAGCAAAAAAACAGACGTAAAGGAATGTCGTCGCCGGCATCCGTCCGTCTCGAGAGACGATGGACTGGGCGGGATATATGGAGAACTAGGGCTGCTCGTTCCCCCTCTCAGCCTTGCTAGCAGAGTCCAAAGAAGAGAATAGACCAACACAGTTTGATACCAGCGTGGCTGCAGGAGTTGCCGGAAGGTAGCACAGAGTGCCGTCCATCCGCCTTAGGGGCTCCGGGTTTCAATTCAGTTTTCTCCTTCCCCTGCCATCCAAGGCTATAGAACCCAGTCCGTCCAGTATTTACCCATAGCTGGAGGGAAAAGAAGAGGATTCACACCTTTCCCAAGGGTATTAGCACATAAGTAAACGTAATGGATTCGACTGAAATTCGAACTCAGTTCTCTGGTTCCTAAATCCAAGCCGCTATCCATTACTCCACTGTGCCTCCTCAAGAAATGTAATGCAACAAAAACTAAACAGGAAGAGTATAAATAAAGGCGTCATGTAACTAATGTAGTCAGTTCGATCCACACAGGAGGCAATATACATGTGGCATAAATGTTAGAAAGTAAGTGTACAGGGTGAGATGGGTAAATTGTCGCCATTTCATATTTTCACCCTGTATATCTGTTAAACTGAGATGTCAATGTTATTTTCATTCTTGCCTCATTTAGGCGACAATTTATCCATCGCACCCTGTATATCTGTTAAAATGAGACGTCAGTGCTATTTTCGTTTTTACGGTATTTAGGCGACAATTTATCCATCGCACCCTGTATATCTGTTAAGATGAGATGTCAGTGCTATTTTCGTTTTGGCGTCATTTAGACGACAATTTATCCATCGCACCCTGTATATCGAAATGAGACGTCAGTGACATTTTCATTTTGGCGTCATTTAGACGACAATTTATCCATCGCACCCTGTATATCGAAATGAGACGTCAGTGTCATTTTCATTTTGGCGTCATTTAGACGACAATTTATCCATCGCACCCTGTATATCTGTTAAGATGAGATGTCAGTGCTATTTTCGTTTTGGCGTCATTTAGACGACAATTTATCCATCGCACCCTGTATATCGAAATGAGACGTTAGTGTCATTTTCATTTTGGCGTCATTTAGACGACAATTTATCCATCGCACCCTGTATATCTGTTAAGATGAGACGTCAGTGCTATTTTCGTTTTGGCGTCATTTAGACGACAATTTATCCATCGCACCCTGTATATCGAAATGAGACGTTAGTGTCATTTTCATTTTCATTTTAGACGACAATTTATCCATCGCACCCTGTATATCGTGAGACGTCATTTAGACGACAATTTATCCATCGCACCCTGTACATCTGTTAAGATGAGACGTCTGCTATTTTCATTTTTGCGGTATTTAGGCGACAATTTATTCATCGCACCCGTATATGTAAGTAAATTCCGTTTTGGGGAACCAATTTTAATGAAGAATTCATCATCCTAATCGACTAATAAGTGGTAGTAGAGACTAAATCTGGAGTACAATGTACACTCTTAACCTATCTTGATTTTTGCATAGCAGTTGCAGCGCACGTCGTAGATCGAAGGAATAATGTTCCGGCACATGACTGCATACAGCAACATAAACGCAGGAAAAGATTTTTGAATTTTTTTTTCTGTTTCTTTCTTCTCCCCCACCCACCATATTTTGGTGACCGTGTCCGAAGCGATTATTAATATTTTTTGGTCGTTGCAAAACTCTTTAATGGGGGGGGGAACTTTCCCTAATGGAAAGCAGATTTAAGTGTCCATCCAAAACATTGTACATCATAAAAATTACCTTTCTTTTTGACATCAAAACCTAACATAAAATATAATCAAAGGGCTGGTCAATAATAATCTTCAGCTCACAACTGCGATCAATGCTTTCATTGAATCTATGCGTGTGAGTGGAGACGCATGTATTTGAGGATGTGTTTGTTGGTACCCGTGTGTGTCTCGATATGCAACAATCGTAAGAAACGTCAAAGAATAATACGTCCTGATCATTTTTTTTTTAAGGTGAACACTCTTTTAACAAATGAAAGCGCACACCTTCAAACTCACATACATACATACTGGGTGCGATGGATAAATTGCCGTCTAAGTGAGGCAAAAATGAATCTAACACTGGCAGACAAAAATCGGTGGTAAGGGGAGGACAGAAGGTATTAGACTAAAAGGGAAGAGGTTCAACAGATTCAACCCGCATATTAATCTTATGACCCTAATATGGGGTGGTAGGAAGAATGAGGCGTTGAATTGGAACTAAAGGAGGGCTGAAAAGGGAGTTTATATACAAACAAAGTTTTTTTAATTTTATATAAAAAAAACTTTAGTTTCCACTAGAAAATACCGAATTATATTTCCAAATGAAATGTATTAACAAGATTAACAATAAATTATCATAATTCACCAAATCCTCCTATTATAGTGGAAACTAAAGTTTTTTTTATATAAAATTAAAAAAAACTTTGTTTATATATAAACTCCTTTTTCAGCCCTCCTTTAGTTCCAATTCAACGCCTCATTCTTCCTATATATATATATATATATATATTATATATTTACTAATTTAAAAATATGGTCCTATCGCTACACAGGAATTACCATGTTTCGAAAACAGAAACTAAAAACTTAAAATTTAATTCCATAATTAAATTAAAATCCTTAGTACGGTTTCAAAAAAGTTATTCTTATCTATCTTTCTATCTCACCATTCTTCTTATCTATCTATCTATCTATCTATCTATCTATCTATCTATCTATCTCATCTTATTCCCATCAATCTATCTCACCCTTATCTTCTATCTCTATCCATCTATCTATCTATCTATCTATCTATCTATCTATCTATCTTATCTATCTATCTATCTATCTATCTATCTATCTATCTATCTATCTATCCATCTATCTTATCCTATCTATCTCACCCTATCTATCTATCTATCTATCTATCTATCTATCTATCTATCTATCTATCTATCTCACCCTTATGCCTATCTATCTATCTCACCCTTATTCCTATCTATCTATCTATCTATCTATCTATCTATCTATCTATCTATCTATCTATCTCACCCCTTGTGCCCATCTATCCATCTATCTATCTCATATTTCATCTATCCATCCATCCATCCATCTATCCATCTATCTATCTATCTATCTATCCCACCCTTATTCCATCTATCTCTATCTATCTATCTCTATCTATCTATCCTTATTCCCATCTATCTATCCATCCATCCATCCATCCCTATCCATCCATCCATCTATCTATCTATCCCATCCCTTAGTCTTATTTCTATCCATCCATCCATCTATCTATCTATCCATCCATCTATCTATCTATCCCCACCCTTATGCCCATCTATCTATCCCAACCCTTATTCCCATTCATCTATCTATCTATCTATCCATCCATCCATCTATCTATCTATCCATCTATCTATCTATCCCATCCATCCATCTCACCCTTATTCCCATCTATCTATCTATCTATCTATCTATCTATCTATCTATCATCTATCTATCCCCCATGCCCATCTATCTCTATCTATCTATCTATCTATCTCACCCTTATTCCTATGCCTATCTATCTATCTATCTATCTATCTATCTCACCTTTATTCCTATCTATCTATCTATCTATCTATCTATCTATCTATCTATCTATCTATCTATCTATCTATCTATCTATCTATTCCCATCTATCTATCTTATTCCTATCTATCTATCTATCTATCTCATCTTATTCCTATCTATCTATCTATCTATCTATCTATCTATCTATCTACTTCAGTGTCTGTATAAACGTTAGCGATTTGTCGCTTGAGCTTGTGTGCGTGTTTCTGATAGCGTAGATAAATATGGGTATCGATTGTACATCGATAAAGTGAGAGAATTCAATACCGATAGATATATTCGATTGAGGATGGAGTTAGAAGTAGGAATCAATTTGAGAGAACCACGTTGGCGACATGTTGGCTGGTAGAACCAGGTCGACGTAAAGATCAACTACTAAAGAAGGTAACAGAGACATTGAGAATCGTTATGGTATCGAAATAATTCAGTTGAAATATCTAAAACGTTGAGAGATCGATAGTTAATAGGAAATCTTCCTATTGGAGAGACATAGTTCAATGATAGATTGTCGAACTGTAAAACTTGATCGACAGACGGATACACTAACAAATTCATTGGCTAACCGAAAGTCATAAAGAGAGAAAGATGGCCAGAAACGGGGCAAATAAATAGACAGTGACGACAGACAGAAATAGAAAGCTGGAAAGAAAGATAAAGTAATAAATAGAAAAGAAAGTGTTGTATGAAAGACATATTGAAATACTTCTACATTATTACGCAAATGTAAATCATTTACATTATTCGGACTAATGTCCTCATCTCTGTCGCCATATTTATTATAACGTTTCAGCCGCTGTACGCTCCGTAGATGTCGAACTTAACCCTTTATTTCGCTCACTGGGGTAGACTGTTCTAGTTCCATGTGCCATGTTTAATGGATGTCAGTTATCAGTTATCTCCTGCTAATTTTCCCTCTGAAAGTTCTCCACTGCCTTAACCGGGTATTGAACTCACACTCTTTGGGTCCTGTCACTGAATCTAACTAACGCTTTTATCCACTGTGCCATGTGTCGACATTCCAACCACCTGAAGAAGGTCGGGGCGTACAACGGCCGAAACGTTGTATTATATATGGCGACAAAGATGAGGACAATAGTCCGAATAATGTAAATAATGTACTTACTGGAGTAGTACAGGGAAGTCTAGAACTGGTGGAATTAAGGAATGTGCTTTTTCTGACCACATTCTATGAAAAGAGCAATAGGGCAGCGATTGATTTGAGTTGTTTCGCTTATGGGGAAAGTGGTTGTAGGCTGGAAAATAATTCGTCATTCACAACGATGTGGATACGCTTTCAGACTCTATTAAAACTGAAAAGTGAAAACTGGATAGCTCCTGACCATATATGTTAGCATTACTCTATTTTCGGCCTGACCTGGCTCTTGTATAGAGAATAGCACGCAGAGACAGGTACTTACTGGAGCAATACAGCATATTTAGTGATGGATTCCATGTACGAGTTCCACTTGACGTCTGGGTTGAGTTTAAGTCCCACTAGGTGGTCAAGGTATGCGGTACCCTGAGAGAGCACCCATTGATACAGATATGTGAAAGTTCTTCGTCCAATCAGTGATGGTGGAAGGTCACTAGTTTGGTCTTTAAGGTAGTGAATGTAACCCGCTATTTTTTCGCCGACTGAGATACTAGAGTTAAGTCAGGAAAGAGATCTTCTGTCAATCTTTTATCATCGAAGGGCTTTGGGGTGAAATATAGAGCTGAATCATCAGCATAAATATTCACAAATGATCAGAGTATATTCTTGGGCAGATCATTTATGCAGAGGAGGAAGAGGTTTGAACCGAGAAGCAAACCTTGATGGACGCCAGCGTTGATCGTCTGGGAGGACTGGCTTTTAACAATTACTTTCAGGGACCTACACGCTAGTAACAAATTTATAACTGAGAAGTTTCTTCCACTGACTCCATTGAGTAGTATCTCTTTATACCACTTCTTTTCAAAGGCCTTTGAAGTTTTATCATTCCGATAAGTTGAAAATGGCACACTCATGTCAAAAACAAGCTTCAGTCTGTTGTTAAATAATGAAAAGAATACCCTGTTCTTTTTAACGCCTTAAAAACTACTATCTAAGAGTCATCTGAGGGTCCCTTTCTACCTTTCATCAACATGGCTGATGCTAACCAGGAGAGGGATAAAAATGAAGAAGATTCAAGAAGCGAAAGAAGAAAGAACGGATGTGCGATAATGAAATACGAAACTAACGTTTCTAAATGTTTCTCAGCAAAACCGCACAGACATCTGATGAGTGGCTTTAAAAATACGAAACAGTCAATAATCTTTGCTTTTCTATTTGAAGAAAAAGCTACCGACTGCCTCGAATATCTTTAATGTTATTAAATAAAAGAAGCATTTTTTGTCACACGGATAAAGACAGAAACAAATTAATCGGCTGCATCATTTTCTCACTGCTTTCTCGCGCTGCCATTCCTGCTTCATTTTCTCTCTCTCTCTTCTCTTTCTTTCTCTCTCTCTCTCTCTTTCTTTATCCATCTCTCATTCTCTCTTTTTCTCTCACACACACACTCACTCAATCATGAGTCACTCTTTGTATATTGTTCTTGGTTTTTTCTTTGGTGGTCTCCATTTTTGTTGCAAGTTATATTTTAATGTTTTTTTTTTTCAATCAGAAATTATTTTTAGATTTTCCATAGATTAATTTGTTTCTTACTTTTTTGTATCATTTTTTCGCTTTTATTTTCTTTATTTCGTTCTAATTTTTATTTATTTTCTGTCTTTATTTCTTTATTTTTTATTTTCTTTCTCTTTTTTTATTCCTTTTTTTACTTTGATTCCCGTTCGTTCGCTTTTTCACTTTTTCTTTCTGTCTATTCTTTTTATATTATTTTTATTTGCTATTTTTCCTTCCTTCTTTCTTCTTTCTTTCCTTCTACCCTTTCGTCTTTATTTCTTTCTTGCACTTTTACGTTGGATTTCTTACCTTCGTTTTTCTCTCTTTTTATTACTTTCCTGCATTGTTTCTTACATTTTCACTTTCTTTTTTCTTCTTCCTTTTTTACTTTGTTTTTCTTCATTTCCCCTTTTCATTTTTCTTCCCCGCTTTCTTTCTCTCCCGTTCTTTCTTTCTTTCTTTCTTTCTTTCTTTCTTTTTCCATTCTTTCCTTATTCCTTCTTTCTTTTTTCGTTTCCTTCTTTCTTCCTTTCTCTCCCGTTCTTTCTTTCTTTCTTTCTTTCTTTCTTTCTTCCTTTCTCTCCCGTTCTTTCTTTCTTTCTTTCTTTCTTTCTTTCTTTCTCCGTTCCTATTCGATGTTTTTACTTAATGCGACACCGGAACTTGATTTATCATGTGTCACATCACCCCTAATGGGCATCCAACACACAATCATATATCATCGATAAATTTTCCACGTTCGCATGCCCAGTGCATCCATTTTGACGAGAATAACTCAGTCTAATCACAAACAACGCTGAAGCATCTGGAGTAAAATGTAATCCCTGTGGATCACTCTGCACGATAAGGTTCGTGTTTCCCTTCCAGACGGTCCACTCTCCGGCCATCACTTTATCCTCACCTTTTGACTTCGACCATCCATTACGGTCGGAAAGCGCGAACATTATCTTGTCAACTGCTATTGATATGAAACGATTTACTTAGAATGACACTTAGCGAAACGAAGCCATCACTCATACTACGGTTACAAAGAGCTGTAATCCGTTCATGGAATCCAAAAGGTTTGTATTTCTGAGATCAAGTGTTCGACAGGTAACACCAAACAATATGGCCGCAACAATTTGCAAACTCAGCTTATCACTTAAATAACAACGCTGAAGATATTGACATTTACTATATCTATCTATCTATCCATTTATACAAGCATGCATCTGTTTGACTGTTTCTTTTTCTATGGTTTATCAACCCTTTGCAGGTTATTTAAAGCCAGGAAATATTTTCAGATTTTAAGAACTTTTTTCTCAGATAATAATAGTTTAATGATACAAGTCTTAATGATTAACCCATAGCTGGGGAGAGAAGAGCTAGATTCATACCTTTCCCATGATTATTTGCGCGTAAGTGTATATAGCAAACCTAACGGGAACTGGAACTCTGTTCTCCGATTAACAATACCCAGTCATTATCCATTACACCACCCGCACATCCAAGCTTACAACATCTGATATTCCGAAGTGGTCACCCATCTAGTTACTGGTCAGTTTCAACGTTTCTTAACTTCGGTGATGGAAAGCAAAGAGCCGGAAGAGAGTTCCACAAGTGAGAAGTACGAAAGAAGAAACAATTAGCTTAGAACTTACGCCCACATCTAGCCAGCTCAACTGTAAATTGATGAGATTTCGACGCCAGTCAAGTGCTGTGCTTAAATTCAAAAACTCTAGATACCATTGCGAAGAGCAATATTTATTCTGCTATCTACAGAAAATGTGGCACAAGACCAAAATGGAGATTTCGGAAAAGGACGGTCTTCCTGTGTCTTAATGTTAAACTTATCTAGCCACAAACACTGAACCAAACATACAAAAATACTCCTTACATAATAACAACGAAATCTTACTTACCTTTTTTGTACATTCACCGTAATACCGCAATGCCTCTATAAAAGTCCTAACTATTCTCCCTATGTACAATTGTCTGGGGGTGTGGGGAATATAACAACAATTTTCAAAATTGCCCCGATATAGCGAAGAGCTCATCCGAACAATTACCATGAAAGTATTTATAGAAAAGACATCTTTGTGGCAGTGAGAAAATGACTGGAGCTGAGCTGCCAGATCAGGACAAATAATATTGCAGATTCTTCTGTTGACTTTATCAAGGAGCTCATGGTAAATAGCAGGGCCCGGACCACATGTGGCAGCAATATTATGAGCATGGATGTATGGTAGACTTATAGATATGTAAGATAGATTCTGGAGAGAAAAATTGACTCGCCTGACATAATGAACCGACTTTCTTAGCAGCCGACCTAGCAATGGATTCAATATAGTCCTTCCACTTCATATCAGAGCCTGAGAAGACGCCACGAGTTACTTACTTGGAGGATAGCATCAACCATACTAATAGAAGGCAGCAAGTGGTGTGTCAGATAATTAATTTAGAGAAGTTTAGTTTTGAAGAGCGTAAATATAATAAAAATAACTTGCAAAATTGTTACTCCAGTTTCTGCTACTCCGAGGTAAATGCGTTTGAGTCTTTCTTCGCTATGTGTCCTACAGAAAATTTAGTAGATAACAAATTTTATATAGGAGAAGTGAAAAGAAAGACTCCAAATTCTGGAGGCGGTTGTAATAAAATAAGAACCAGCCTCCATTAAATAAGGTATACTTCCCCCTAATAATTTTTTTTATCATTAGTTATTTACAATCCCCGGGTAATAATTTTTTTTGTTTTATGTAAAATTTTTTTGTAATTTATAATTTATTTACAATCCCTATATATATATATATATATATATAATATATATATATATAAATATATATATAATATATATTATATATATATATAGTATATATATAAAATATATATATATATATTATATATATTTATATATATATATATATATATATATATATAGTGCGACCCTCAGTGCAACCAGAAACCTCGAGGCCTCGATTGAAACCCAACCGATTTGGTGTCAGAGCTTCTACCACTGAGCCATCTTCACTCGAGAAAACGAATCAGCCAAATCTAGCGTATTATTTTTTTACAAACGTAAACAAACGCCAACCAGCCAAAGTGTTCTATTCATTTTACTGAAGAGCTTCGCTTTTACGCAGTTGACAGCTGTTTTTAGAATTAGTTTGCTGTTCAACAGAGCTCAATTGAAAATATATTTTCAAGTGCATATTGTATCTAGATAGATTCAATCTGAATTATAGAATGTCTAATAATCGGATGCTAGATCTACTGAACCCATTCCACACACAGAGATCTTTGTATCAATCTCTTAGAACCAAAAAACCGAGCAACGATTCAGATCATGGTTTCATGGCATATTTTTTTTTACCTTCAGTTGGTTTTCTAAACTTATTGCCGAAAAACCACTAAAATTCAGGCCGTGCTGAATTTGCTAACATATTTTTCTACTTTTGCTTGTAACCACCTGATGCAGTCCAACCACAACTAGCTTTCCATTGCATAAATTTGGCTTCCAGACCAAAGCCATATTTTCGTCCTGTTATCTAAACGACAATGTTCATTCATACCAAGCGATAAATACGAATGCCTCAAACTATCAGAATCTCTGGGGTCTTTTTTTTTAAATACTTTTTCCTGTCCACCTACAAATTTATCAGTTTTAGACAGATATCATTATTAGATGTTATCTTTGCAACTTCCAAGCGAGTGAGAATTTGTTTAGCGCTGTGATGCAAAAACAAAATATTCCTTGTCACGTCTCTAAATAGTAATACACATATGCACAGACGAAAAACAAAAGTGCCCCCAAAATACAAATATGCATAAAATCTAACAAAAATATACACTGGTTATAAAAACAAATGTACATTCTTCGAGATTCTCTCTTTATCTCGCCGTCCCTAATGTGTGTAATTGTGTGTCTTCACTTTTATGTAAATACGTTCAATCTGATGAGTTGGTTTTCAACTACGAAACACAACAGACACGAATAATGCCAACGGAAATAGAATTTCTTCAAAGAGAAACGGTACACTCGCATAGAAACAAACTGACTTCTTACTCACCCACATAGTCATAAATTACGACTACTGAAGCCAACAAGATGGCATCTGGCCTTGTGAGATTATTTTATTTCATTTATTTATTGCTTTTGTTCATCCATACCAGGCAAACATTTGTAATATTATTTTTTTAACAAAATTCTTTCAAAAAACCTGAGGCCTGTATGGTGGGGGTGTAGACTATAACGACTCAGCAAGATAAATTGTAGAACCGTTTTGACCAATTCCAGTCAAGATCGTTACATTCATAGGAGCGAATGCGCTTGGAAAATATATCAGTCCATGTCTTCTACCCACCATATATGGGTTGAATAGCAGGACAGATTGTTTTCTATAGCCTTGGTTGTCAACCAGTCTACCGCAAAAAGAAACGGCAACTTACAGCAGGAAAATTTTCTTCCGAGTTAGGAATTGAAAGGGACATGATCACCCAAACGTGCATTACGTTAGCACTTAATTCATTGACTGAGACCTGTTAAAATTTTACGTAATCCGAAGAGTTCCGCATCGAATTCCATTTCAATAAGCAGATTTGCTTCTAAGCGAAGTTGTTCTGAGATTACTCAAATATGTAATGGATTACAAATAACAACAAAACAGATTTTGCTCTCTGTATCACACCAGAACATCAGAGAGGCCAGGTGCATCAGCAGGTTAAACTGAAAGTCCTATCTATTAAGTGTAGATTATTATGTATTTAATCCCAAATTCTTCAACAGATACATCGTCTTGCCAGAACTATAAGTAGATTCATATGCCTTACGAAAAAAGAATTCTCACTTGGCCGAGATCAATATTTGCTGGAGGTCACACCTTTAAAGATCTCCCAGACCGTGTGGCATTTTGGGTCCGAAAAAATCTCCAC